CAGGAACATGACGAAGTACGTACGACCGCCAGCAGCTAAAATGGACAACAATCAACTCAATCAAATTCGTTATCTTCACGCATAATTAACGGCATTGTACGTGACCAGTGTGAACTGTTGAAATCAGGAATATATATAGAAACTAAAGAAGCGTCTATAGATTATATCGCTCGAATAGTTCGATATCTACAGGAAATACCATTTGCTGAAGATCGTGCAAGTTTCTGTCAAAGGAGGAAACAAGTGGGAAAAAGAAGCAGGAAACTTTGGAAACCGTGAAGGTAGACTGAAACTGCTGGCATACATCTAATTATTTCGGGAAACCCAGAAAGCTGTTAACACATTGTTAACTAAATTTTATCAAAAACAACTATTGGCAACCTGATTTTAACTGATGGCTGATGGAATACATAGTGGCAAGTACGCCAAGCGGTTGCGACGCGGCTAAACCTACTAGCAATCGACAAAGCTCCGGCCTTCTACTGGTCCGTATGCCAACAACAACAATCAACTTAACCGGAAATTCGGTACAGCTATATTACAATTTATCTACAAACTCATCAATGCTAAGAATAGTGGACAGATATGTGCAAATAGTAAAAATCGTCACTGTGCTCAATGCACTCACGCGAGCGGTCGCACTGCGTCAGTTGTAACAGGAACACGTGCGAGCGCGCGCGACGAAAGGCTCAAGGCAAGTTGACGGACCAGCCGACGAGTGCTTTGGCAGCAGCTACGTGGAATGCACTGATATAGGATTGGTCAGCATTTATGGGCCCAAGAACACTGGCGATGGTTTCAACATCTAGCAGCCCTCCCTGTCCGCTGCACTCAGTTATGCAGGCACCTGTAGATGGAAAAATCCAGAACGATAAAGTCCATTGCCGTTAAGTTGAAGTGGAAAGCTGTAGAGAGGGGGTGGTGGGAATCTTACGGTAACCAAGAAACGGATTGAAATTTAATATAGCTGTTATGAATAATAGTAAAACATGTTTCGTAACAAAGTTACCCAAAAGGAGGGTCTTAGGTGAAGATTAGGTGTAAGATTCAAGGGAAAACGACTACAAAAAGGTACTAAAACAAATGAAGTTATAAAATAGCAAGGATTGTACCATTAAGTAAGAGTAGAGGGCATGCAACCAATGAACAAGATGCTGGAATTCAATCATTACACTTACTTTTCAATTTTTTTTACATAAAAAAGGACGTTACCAAACATTCCGAGAAAGGCAAGTATAGCCATATTTATCGATACACATCACAGAAATTTGCACAACATCTCTACAAATAAATTAGAAACCCGTATAGAATACATTAAAGTCACCTCAAGTACAATAATTCTACCTAGTATGCTCGTGTTCGTATAACCACTGCAAAGGAAGAGCTGAACGTTAGGGCGAAAAATTATTTCAACGCTTTCTTCGACCCAAAAAGCCGGCAGCAGAATAAGCAGACCCCCTGGCTGGCAAGTATAGATCTTCCCAAACAAAGTTCCTCACATGAGGGCTCAGAGCAGCTCCCAGATGGTCATCTCAATTATTTCATTGATATCAGTCAGTCCGTAGCCTCTAAAAATTTCTCTTGACAAGCTTTTCGAGTCTCCTCATACTTGTCGTCTCGGCCAACCCGTCCGCTGCCATCGACACGACAGCATTCAATGCCTGCGTTGCAGATAATGCATTGCCCATTCCGACAGGAACCGTTGGCGCAGCATCAGCAGCAGCTCCAAACTTTTGCCTTAAAACGAAACATCTCTTTAAAAATTGGTCAAAATATAAAAAGAATGTGATAGAAACACTTGCCTGTAGGCTTGCAGGATAGCAGTCTGTTCCACTTTCTTCACACCACGCATATCAAGAACCTTGAAAAGAAAGGATCATACAGCAATTCGAAAATACACTCTAATACAAGACTGAAGGGTTGTCCATAAAGAGGATGGTGACCATTTTCATTTTTTCAAATGAATCCACTGCATGTCGATGAGTCTCCCGTGTCCTCCTACACCACACCTCATCAGGTAATACAGGGGGCACAACATAAGGAGACACTAAAACTACGCCATACTCATTTAACAAACTTCAGAATGAGCACCAAGCTTTTTTGTTGTACCGAACCTTTCTAGGCGATGCTTTTAAGAAATTAGTTATTCGTACATTTGGATTTTCACATAAATCGAATAAAAGGCATAAAAGTGGGCATCACACCTTTTGCAATTCGGAAGTATTAGAGTCTGGCAGCAAAGTTGAATAGTGTTCCACGAAATCTTCAGGTGTATCCATATTTGACATTACTACCTGAAACTATTGAAGCTAATAGATAGAATCCAAACAATGACGGTATTAATTTGGCATTAAATATGGTAGCATT